TGAAATTGTTGCCCAGCTGCCAAGGCAGAGAGAAAGGAAGGGCGATGGCTCCAATGAGCCACTCCTAAGGGCCGGAGCAGGATAAGTGTGTGGCTTTGCCGACGCCCCAGCCGCTTCCCTGGAGCAGCCCAGGAATGTTGGCCCCAAGTAGCTCCCCCGGCAGCTGCCCTTGATATGTCCCCGTTTCCCAGCCGAAACGGGCCAGCGCATCCCCGGAAACGCGCAGTCCCCGGGCTCCAGTGATGGTCCAGACGCGCCCCCACGCGTTGTCCCTCCTGCCGGGACTCACCTCCCAGGGCCCCTCGCTCTCCGCGTGGCCTCGCAAGCCGGCCTGTGGGGCTCGTCCAACAGACCGCGCCTTCTCACGTGCCCTCTCACGTGCCCCCTCACGTGCCCCCTCACGTGCCCTCTCACGTGCCTTCTCTTGCCGGCTGTGCGCTGCAGGGATCCTGATGTGGGAAGTGTTCAGCCTGGGGAAGCAGCCCTACGACCTGTACGACAACTCCCAGGTGGTTGTGAAGGTGTCCCAGGGTCACAGGCTGTACCGGCCCAAGCTGGCGTCGGACACCATCTACCAGATCATGTACAGCTGCTGGCATGAGGCAAGTGCACCCCGGGGCAGCTGGGGGCCGGGTCACCACTACACCGAACACTGTTGAGGGGGCACCGGCTACGGATCCGGGGGCAATGGCCCTGCGCCTCTGCTCTCAAGTGTTTGTCATTGAAAACAAGCAATGCAGGTGCCAAGGATTTAACGAACAACTTACGTTCAGCACCGTGTACAAACGTTATAAATCTCAGCCTGTTTGTTCAGCAGGGAGCACGCGAGGAGGTAGGTGCTGCCGTCCCGGCTCAAACTAGCAGGAGAAACAGACCCAGAGACGGCAAGTGGCTTGTCCAAAGCCGCTCCAGAGGCTGGCTGGCCACGCCTGGACTCACTTTTCTTAACCACACTATGGGGTCTCTCCTCCAGTAGAAAACGTGGAGAGCTTATAACCACGTGCAGAGAACACATAAGGGACATGATTCCATTCTCTCCCACGCTTCCCAAATACTGAATGGGAGCGCTCCATGCCGAATAAGAGTATCTTTTGGGGTACACATGGAGCTGAAATGGCAGATTGATTTGGCCTCGCAGAACTCAGTCTTTACACACACACACACACACACACACTGTGGGACTGAAAACACCGAGCAGCTAAGAATTATACATATTCTACATGCACAATATAACCACAGACAAGCACAGGACTTACTGCCGTCGCCTGCCGGTTGAAGAAGAGTAAAGAAGGGGTGTTGAGTCAAAGCCAGGCGTCCTTGGCCCTCCACACTCCAGCTCCAGGGCCCAGGACTGCCCCACCAGGCGGACAGGGGGCCCCGAAAAGGAAGGAGCTGCCTCGTTTCCACAGCCGCCCCGCACAAGCCTGTGAATTACGGCAGAACCCATGGGGGGGGGGGTGCGCAGACATCCCCAGGTGAAGGTTCTGCGTATAGTGAGCATTTGGTAAATGCTACTCTCCCCTCATTTTTACATTTCATTTTGCAACTTTTGGAAAAACATTTGACAACTTTCACTAGATTCCAGTTTATCTTCCCTGTACTTCATCGCACCAAAAATAAGCATGTAAATATTTGTATGTGGTTTTTTAATCATTATTGTTGATTTCAGAGAGAGGAAGGGAGGGGGAGGGGGGAGACATCAGCGATGAGACGGGGCCATCGCTTACCGGCTTCCTGCACGCCCCCTACTGGAGACGGCCCGCAACAGCCGGGCCGTGGGTGCGGTTTAGTTTCCCTTCTTACCCGAAAAGCAGCAAATTGCTCTCCGCACGTGTTGCTCCTCTAGCAATGTGCCTGTTTTCCCACAATCTCACCACACGGACCATTGTCGAGCTTCTGAATTTCTGCCCATCGCAGAGATGAGAAATGGCACCTAGTGCAGCTTTCACATGCCGCTCTTTCATATAAATGAGGTATATTTTTAAGGGCATTGGTATATCTTGCTGGGAACTATGTGTCTTCTCTTCGCTCTTTTTTCTATCAGGTTTTTGTTTGCCCCACCTCAATTTAAAAAAACCCTCTATAAAGTGATTGTATTTAGTTTATATTTTAGTTTGGCAAATTTGACATCTTTATTATACGGATTTGTCCTATTCAAGAACAAGCAATGTTTTTCCATGTGTTGAAGTCTGACTTTGTTATTTTTCAGCAGTGTTTAAAAGTTTTCTTTATTTAGGGGGCACATTTTTGTTAGTGTTTTATTTTCGTGTTCTTGCTACTGTAAGTGGGGTTTTCTCTTTCATTATATCTTCTAATTGGCTATTGTACATACACGTGAAGGATATTGATTTTGTATGTTAATTTTATATACTGCTCTCTTGGTGAATTCCTTTATTATTTGGGTTGGTTTTATCATTGATTCTCTTGGTTTTTCCAGGTATACAATCATATCTTATGCAAGCAAAGATACTTCCACTTTTTATTTTCTCTTTAGTAAAAATGTCTGTAGTGTTTCCATCTTTTAAAAGTTGCTAGCTTTAGAACTCGAGTATAAATATTTTATATATTTTACTTTTAATCACAACCTTCATAAACTAAACCAATGGATATTTTTCTTTTATTTAGCTTCCAGAAAAGCGTCCCACATTTCAGCAACTCCTATCTTCCATTGAACCGCTTCGGGAAAAAGACAAGCCTTGAAGAAGAAGCTGGGAGATCTGATGAGAATGAATATAAATGTTAGTCAACATCTTCATTCTTTTTGAGGAAAGTAGCAAGGCACAGATAACATAATTTAGCTAGTTCTTCTTATTGGTATTCTGTGTGCGGTTTCTCTGTTATATTATCTAGAAATGAGCAAAGTAGGAAACAAAAGATTTCCTTGAAATTTAGGTCAAATTAGTAATTTCGTTTATGCTGCTCTTAATACTCTACATCCAAGCCTATAGCAGAAGCACATTTTCCGATTGCAATAGAGAGGGAATGTTCCATGTGTAAAGATTGAACAGAACTGAAAAGTTATTTGTTGGACATTTGTTCTTTTCCTTATATTGTCACTCATGATAATTAAATATGCTATTGCCTTCATGTTTCAGCGTTCTCAATCTTTAGCATGCATGAGAATCCAGCGGAGGGTCTATTAAAACACAGGTTCCTAGGAACTACCCCAGAGATTCTGGTAGAGCAGGTCTGAGTGCAGCCCGAGAATCTGCATTTTTAACAAGTGCCCAGATGTTCCTGTGCAGACAGTCAGAACTGCCCCGGGGACCTCATTATTAGCTGGTCCATAACTCAATCCAAATAGCACAATTCTCTTCTGATATCCAGATTAGAACAATGACTCTTTATGGCACCATGGACACAAATAGAAAACTAAAGTTCAACAATATTATTCCACAATATATTAACTATGTTTCCCATAGAGCAAATTTTAAAAGATGCTAAGTTATAATTCAGTGCCTTTTTCCTTACCCTTAACCATTAGCAATCTCAACTCAAGTGTAACCATGATCTTACAGCCAGAATTGATTAGATTGTTGCTTTCTATTCATTTTAAATCCTTGAGTTTGGGGCCCTGGGGCTTCGGGCCAGTTTTTAACTGATGTTTCTATTTCAGTCTTCCTTGACACAGAGGTACAGAAGTATGAGTTTAGTTTCTCATGGCTATTATGAAAACATACTTTAGCTTTAAACTCTTCCTGGGAATGCCCTCCTTCACAGCCTGCTGCTGAACCCATGGGTTTTCATCTGTAAGTTAACAATCTCCCTTAAGAGACATTCACACCCTTTCTTACCCCACTCACCCCCTCACCCCCCAGCTATTTCAAATTATCCCTCTTACTTATGTTTCTTGACATTTAAATAATGATTATTTTCTTTTCAGCACAATGACTTATGATAATAGTCTTCTATTTTTTTACAGAGGTACACAAATCTCAATTTATAATGAAATGGAACTTTAAAAATAACCACTAGGATATTTATACATTCAGCAAGCATTTATTTAGCATGTTCTGGGTGCCAGGTTCTTTCCTACCGGAGGGGAAAGAAGGAACAAGTAACAGCCCCTCCTCCTCAGTGGCTCACAGACAGGTGGCAGTGCCAGCCTTGCTGGGCGCTCTGATTTTGTCCACAAGGGACTGCAGCACAGGCTGTGACTCTCCCAAACTAGGTCTTTCTGCCCCCTACCCCTTGAAAGTTGATTTCCTTTTTTCTTTTTCTTTTTATGTATTTGATCTTCTAAAAATCATCAACCTTACATGCTTGTTGCAAAAATTCAAACGATACCGAATTGTCTACTATGAAAGGATGCCAAAGCCTGGCCTAGAAGCCTGGCTCCAAAAATCAAGGCAAGGAAGATTTTAATGTAGAGGTTTATCAGAAAATAACTCCAGTGATACTAGGGGGAGCCAGGTAAAGGAATAATATTCATACTATTTAAAACATGCATAATAACTTTTAAATGCTTTTTAACTGTGTTTAGTGGTGATACCTGGCATTAATTGTTGTTTTAAACCAGGGAGCTGCTTACACTTCTTGGAAGTGAAGAAAATGTTCATTCTCCCCTGACTTGGCTAACTGACTCACATGTCTATAGAATTATTAAGAACAAAGTTATCTAACATTATGCTGATCACCACGCAGAGTGAGTTGATGGGTAGAGCTTGGATATTTCCATCTATTTAATCTATTTTAAATCATTCTGCAGGTATGCAGTGTCTGCTGTGCTCAGTACTGGGCTGGGGCCCTGAGATATATGTAAAAGCAGCATCAGGTTTGGTTCCTAACCTAAGGGTGTGTATCATCTTAACACGACTCTTCTTAGACTGAACTTATAATTGCTTCATACAATAAATAAATTAAAGAAATTGGGATACATTCCAAGACATTTGGGAGGCCAAGGGTCCCAGACATTCAAACAGCAACCTTGTCCCTAGAAGTGAAAAGCAGACAGAATCCACAGAAGCCTCAGTACATAAGAACCCATGAGACCACAGGAGTGTGCAAATCTAGTATTTATTGAGTGTCTACTTTGTGCTCAGTGTTACTCAGACATTGTGGGTGAATACAAAAGATTTAAGAGGTTGGGTGCCCACTTCAGAGGGTCTCATGCAGTTGGGGTTTCTATTCACTCCACGGTTAGAGAACAACGGAAGTGAGTTTGTACCAGGTGTGCTGGGTGGAGGGCGTCTTGGAGGCCCCGGGAGATGATGAAGTAGCTTGGAAGTGAGAAGGCAACGTCTTCCGACACTCCCTGGTTTCTTCTCTCTTCTTTAGACTTGTCACCCCGAGGAAGACATGATCTAGTCCAATCATCACTGGGCAAGTCACTATAGTACTTAGATTAAGTTGATGTGAAGAGAACGTGTCATCCTTTACACTTGAATTAAAATAAAGTTGACAATGTGTGTCATTGTCAATCCCTGCGGCTCCATCAGTTCAGTGGACTGTTCTGAAAAGCCAGCCAGCCAGACTCCATGCAAGGCTCTTACACTGAATCCTCCCGCCCTATAAGCCTTTTGGGTTTTTATTCAACTCCAGCAACACAACAGATATTTGCATTTCCATTACCCCTGAACAACCTGGGAGGCCAAAGACACACTTTCTCTATTATTCTCAAAGATAAATCTCTCTTTTAGGAAACAGATGAGAAGTGAAATTTTGAGACAGAAGTAAATACTGTACTAAAAGCAATGCAAGAGGCCCTCTCGTCAGCGTGTCTTATTTGGACAACCTTCCTGAACAGAGGCATGGTTTTGATGTTTAATGACATCTTTATAATCTCATATTTTCTGTAATGTGAAATTAACATTTACATATAATAAAATCACCTTAAGGGGAAACAAAATTGATTTTTCTAAAATGAAGTCTGAACATCATCAGCACTTTGGAATCCTGGATTATTTTCTCCTTTACTCAGATTCACAGAAGAATAAGGATTTTCTTCACTTCTTGCTTGATTTTTCCTGTTAAATAAAATGAAGCCACCTTAATATAGTGATGTTAGAATGACAGTGCCTCCTTTGGACCCCCCTGGGTCCAGGCACCTTTTACATCTCAACATCACTGGTATATTTGTTTGTGTATCAGTCCCCTATTGATGGACTATAAACACCTGAAGACCATGGGGTTCACTTCTTTAGCTCCAAGATTGTCACCTTGGCTGGCAGAGTGTGAGAGACTAGTTAGGATTTGAACTCTGGAATTAGAGAGAGGAGGTCTCTGTGCTTCAGTTTGCCTGTTCAGGAAATGATGCAATTATGTGGAGACAATGAAATAATGCTGGCACATCACTGACAGTAAGTACCTAGCATATAATCCTCAATAAATATTAACCGCTACTGTTATTTTTAGGAACTCAGTAGTCATTTAGCAAATCATCTCATATTAAAGAGCTTCCCTGCTATATTAGCAATTTCCAAAGTATAAAGCTCAGGGTAGGGCGCTGGCCAGTCTGGCTCAGTTGTTAGAGTGTTGGCCCGCGGACTGCAGGGTCCTGGGTTCAGTTCTGGCCAAGGGCATGCGCCTCAGTTGCAGGCTCCATCCCTGGCCCTGGTTGGGGCACGCAGGAGGCAACCAGTCCATGTTTCTCTCTCTCTCTCTCTCTCTCCCTTCCACTCTCTCTGAAAAGCAGTAGAAAAAATATCCTCTGGATGATTTAAAAAAAAAAAAAATCAGGGTAGGGCAGCTTTGCAGTATAACAACCAGCTTTGGAAACTGGGTATATATCCTAATCTGTTACTCATTAGCTGTGTGAACTTGAGAAAGTTACTTGGCTTTTCTGAATCTCAGTTTTACATATACATGGAAACAGTTACACATTTACATCACAGGCTTGCTGAAAACATTAATGTACGAAACTACTAAGCAGGGTGGCCGGTCTTATTTTTCTGTGCACCTTCTATTTACATAGTGTGTGGCATGAAGGAGGTGTCCCCCAATAATGTATTTAATGAATTAACTTTGGAATAGTATCTCATATGCAAATTTTCAGTATGTAGAAGAGTGCTTCTCAAACTCTACTGTGCATACAAATTACCTGGGGGCATTTACTAAAATGAAGATTCTGATACAACAGGTCTCCAAGAAATTGATAATTTTGGTTAGCTTTATAAAGGGAACTTGGAGGCAAAGAGTGACAGAGACTTTAAGTATCCTTTTGTATTTTTAAAAATTTTAACCATGTGGATGTATTCTATTTGATACTTAATTCTTTAAATGCAGCTACTTTGGGGAACTAAAAAACTCTGTAGTGAAGAAAAATGAGCGAACTAGATTAATGCATGTAAAAATCCCATCATTAACATGTTTAAACAACCTGAAGCGTACATAGACTTCTATTAGGTGCTACAACATGTTATTAACCTTAATTACATAAGCTCAACAAAAGTAAATGATTTCTCAAGACCAGGAAAAAATCTAGTGGCAGAGCAAGACTATAAAGCAGGTATTCAGTGATTAAAATCCTCAGTGAACTTGGATCTTCAACTCAAGAACTAATTAGCGGGTACCCGACCCATGAACTAAGAGGATGATAGTGAGTCTGCGCTACCCGAGGAGGAACGGAGATGATTAAAGAGTAGCTGTTCGAAGCAAACCTCCGAGCTCATTCCTGAATGTTGCACAGTTCAAACCTATCACAAATCCAGCCTCTAGGGTCATGTCTCGACCGAGGGGGGCCTCATCAGTAAGGATAATCCCCTGAGCTAGCCCACAGCTAAACTTGCAGTGCCTCTTGGCAGCAGGAAAATTCTGCTGTGGCCGGGATGGAGTTGGCCAGGGCCTGCTGGTGAACCCCAGGCTGGACCTCTGCTGTGTGGCAGGCCTTGCTAGGAAGGTGAAGCGCTGACGAAACGTGGCAATCATCCTGTACAACCTACCACTTACTGCAAAGTTTCCAATTAATTTTCCCTCAACTTTTCTGTTTTAGGATAGGTAAGTCTAAGAAAGGTCACTTACTTCTTTCGGTCTCTGATTCCTGTGAAGATGAGCGCAGCAATACCAATCACTACTACTCCCATCACGACCCCAAAAACAATCAGCCATATGGTGACAGGTGGCTGGTAAGGGGGTCCCAGTGTAGGCTGAATACCCAGAAACTCCAGGCTGTTGTCATCCAGGCGAAAAGCATCATTGATACGGCTCCGGGACATCCTATTCCCAAAAGCAAAACACTTAGGCAAAAAGGAACACTTAGGCGAAATAAAATGGTATGTAATTATTTACTCCTTATATCACTGCTCCTGAAAGGATTTGATAAGGCTTATCCTAAGCATGTACACCTTAAATAGCAATGAAATCAAAGCAGATCACCAAGTCCAAAGAAAGATATGAGTTTTAACAATTATGCACCTTTAATATCTTGCAACCTGGATTAGGTTTGGAAACAGCTTCACTGGATAATTGGTTGCAAGTGTGGAAACATGCAAATGGCTGGCATTTGTTCATTTGTGATGACTATGTTGCAAAGGCAAAGTTAGTATATTTAGCAAGAACTTCCCTTCTGTCAGGCTATGTCTACAATGACTTTATATCAAATAATGGAAAAGGGCAATTGACTACACCTCTTCTACAAATGAATCGGGTCTGGTACCCAGTTGTATTTTCCAAATAAAAGGTGTAGACGTTTGGAAGCAGCACTGGGAAGGAACGCAGGAAAGGGGATGGGACATGGCTGAATTTTATACATAAAAAAGGGTGAAGATTATTTTTAAAACAAAACAAAAAATAGTGAAGTGGAGAATATTCTGGATCGAAAACCAAAGTGTCTGGCATAGCAGCCTCCTACCCTTGAGTATAGTGCAGGTCAAGACATCAGAGCCAACCCAGGGAAGAAAAGAGGTCAGAGCAGAATTTGTTACAAGGGTTGCCATGTAACCCTTGGCAGCCTTAGCCTGAAGGTGTCTCAAGTCCTTCTGGAAACAGGAAGTGGGAGGTCCCCTGCGGCTTGCAGGAGGGCTGGGCTCTTTCATGATGATCTCAGCAGCACTTTTCCCCCAAACCGAGACAAGTCATTTGGAGGCAATCAGTGAGTCTCTGGGTGTGATTAGGTTGTACACCCACCTTAGCCAGATTTTCTAGGCACGGACACTGCCCAGCAGGTCTTAGTTCTGCTTCCAAAGATGAACAGCAGCTCAAGAGGGCCACCTAGCGAGTTTCCCCCTAGCAGGGTATCCTAAGCTTTTTAATATACAAGGGGAACCATCTACATCTACCCATTGAAACAGCTCAGGCAAATTGGGCAAGCTGTGCCTTCTAAATACTCACTGCCCACAGCGAGTCCCTCTCCACGTGTGGAGGCTAACCAATGTCTAAGGAAACCTATGCCTGCCTACTTTGTTTTAGACTTCAGTTAGGCAAATGAATCCTACATCAAAGTCCCCGTAGCAAATGATGGCAATACCTATGTCCCTTCCGCACTTAAACCATGTTCCATGAGTGATGGCCAGGCTTTCTTCAGCCAGTACCTGCTGCCTTTGCCTTAGGGAATTCTCAGGCCACAAGATTCTGCCCTGCTTGCTGGCTAGAAATTCTGGGGAATTCATATCATCTGCAAGCAGTTCTCAACCAATGACTGGTGGGAGGTGGCGAATAAATACCCCAGCTCTGCTGGGACAATTTAGGTGCATATTCTACACAGTCTCCCAGAATACCTCAGCAAAATGGAGCTCTAGTTGCCCATGGTGGTAACTTGCTCCATAACATGTGATGTGTTATCTTCCTTGCATTCTCTGTCTCCTGTCCACATTTCTCTACCAGTGCTTTTTGAGACCACCTCCCAAATAAACTACTCACACTCAAATCCTTGTCTAAGGGCCTGCATCTGGAGGAACTGAAATCAAGACAATTCCCTTGCTATGAGATCCTTCTGGAATAAAAATCCAAGATGAGGTAAAACATGTAAATGACTCAGACCAGTGCCAGGAACACAGTAAGAGCACACTCAATATTAGTTATGGTTGTTGTTGCATTTGTTAACCCCCTCAACCTCATAGTTTGAAAGTAAAATATCACCTGATGGCATCTTCAACTTCACTTCTAGGAATAAGGTCAGACACATTTTTAGGTGAAGTCACAATGAACTTGAAGGAGATTCTTGGTTCCTTATCAGTCACCCGCACGTCCTCTGCCCTGTGGAGAAACAAAAGAAACATCTTCTTTTGTAGCACAGAGAACACAATGAATAGAATGAAGACTTCGCTGGTGAAAAGCAGATTAGCAGAGGACCACAGGGTTAAGCAGAGAAATATGGGTCAGGGCAAACAATGGAAGGATGTAATTGTCCAGAGAGCTTAACACTGCCCCAAGCACATGAGCTCAGCTCCATAAGCTGTGATAGCTTGTCTCGGCTCTATTTGTTCTGCCACCATATAAAAAACACATTTTCTTCGATGATAGAAAAATTCAAACTAAAAGCACCAGAAGAATCAGTGAAGAATCACTGATGACTTGGGATTGTGATAAACAACATGGTGGGCAGCGACGGCTTAGTAGCATGGACAGAGGTGGTGTGTTTGCATCCTGCAACCTTGCCCCACTCAGCAGACCTGTCAGGTTAACCCATGGGTGTGGGTAAGGAGAGAGGTTTCCAGTACAGTGTGGTGAGACTGTGCTCTCACAGCTGCCAGAACGATCCTACTAAAATCTAAGGCAGATCATGTGGCTCATAGCCCTTCTCAGTCGGAATAAAAGCCAAAGTCCTTGGAATGGCTTGTGAGGCCCACATGAACTTTCCTCTCCCCTTCCAACCCCCACGTCCCAGTACGGCCCTGACCACAGTGCCTTCTACTCGTCTTCTGTTAGCTCACTCTGCTCCAGCCACACTGGACTCCTTGCTGTTCCTTCAACAGGTGAAGGATACCCATTCCTCAGGCTCTTTCCACCTGCAATTTTCCCTGGCTGAAACGTTTTCCCCCATTGTCTGCATTACTGGCTCTCTCTCCTGCTTCAGTTATTTGCTCAAATATTAATGAGGTTTTTTTCTGATCATTTTAGTTAAAATTGAACTTTCTCTCTCTTTCTCTCTACACACACACACACGCACACACAGCCCCCCACACACACACCAGCACTCCCTAGCTCCTTTCCTGTTGTATTTTCCTCCCTACACTTATTATCTAATTCTGCTTTATTTCACTTATATATTTTGTTGATTGTCTATAAAACACAAACATATCTATTAGAATACAGGCTCAGTGAAGGAAGGTTTCTGCCTTTTTCTTTTGGTGTTGAAGGTGGATAAGAGCATTTGGGGGAGGGAAGGGGAGAGGAAAAAAGAAGAGGAGGGAAGGGGAGGGGATGGGAAAGGAGAGGAGAGGACATTTAATAAGAACAATGCTCTTGCAATCTACAAATCAAATAAGTCACAATCATCCCTAATTAGAGTGGCCCGCACTCTAGGATATAAAAGAAGTTTAAAAGTTATTGGAAGGGTTTTTTTAATTTCACTTGATTAAACGGTGAAGCATAATATCTTCTCAGACCCAAGAATAAGAAGTACTGGTTGGAATAACTTGAAAATACAGCAAATCAACTCACGTAAAAAGAACCGTCTGGTTTTTCACTTTGGAAAAATATGCCCTCATGGCATATGCAACTGATGACTGGAACAAGTACAGTTCATTATCATTCCATTCATACTGCAAATTCAAAAGAAAAACAATGCTCAGTAGTGATCACAGGATACATGCAAGGCTTGATAGCCCGCAAGCATTAGTTTTAAATTTTCTAATATTCCCAAGATTCTTGTTATTCATGATGTCAGTGACCTTTCAGTTGAGTGCATCATCACCATCTGGAATCCTTGCTGAACCGCTGCACATGGAGCCCCCCGGAGTTGCAGCTCTAACCAGTTCCCAGGCGGCACTGCTGCTGCTCAGACAACCCACTTTCAGAACCACTGGGTCCACTGATTCTTTACCTTGAGTTTCATGTAACATGAAATAAACACTCTGAAGGCAGCCTTTTAGAAGGGAGCCACGGAAGTTGTAGGTTTTGGTTACAATGTCCATATATTGGAGACAAATATGCCGAGTCTTTACTATTTCATATAGTAAGTTATCAAATATGTATAGCGTAAAAGAAAAAGAAACGAGGTTCAAAGGAAAAAATAATTTTGTGAACAAGGTAATTTGTTTGTTCTTGTTTTTCAGTGCTAAACAAATGTGTATTTTCATAGTCTATGAAAAACTAGTTAAAACAGAAAAAAGCATTCACTCTTTCCTCCAGTAGTTGGCAGTAGAGATTAATGAATGGCACAAATTTTGGATCTCGCCTTTCTCTTTTAAGAAAAACAAAAGATTTCACAAAGAATTGTTACATTAGTTTCAGCTTGATATCAATCAGGTTCTGGAAAAAGTTGCTTTAATAGTATTAATATTATTAATATTTACTACTAATAATATTCTCGTTACTATTTCCATATTTTTTTAAATTTTCTTTATGGTCGAAAGTATTACAGATGCCCCCCTTTTCCCCCCATTGACACTCTCCA